GAGTACTAAAACCTCAAAGAAGGCGTCAAACTGCAATGCCTACCAAGCTAAACTTAAGACAGCACTTGTATATATGTTACTGACTTTTTAATTGTGTGTGTATTGTTTTAGAAGAATGCAGCTTTAAACAAGGGAAAAGAACAGAACAGCTGAAAAACATAAGACAAAGTAAGTCAATATAGGAAAAAGAAAATCCAACACCCACACATGCCTACTACTGCACACAAGCCCAGTCCCAACATCCACCTACTATTGCACATAAGCCCAGTCCCAACATACAGGTACAATGACCTCGTCCATTGCCTGGAAAACTGGCAACATTTTTCAACTCATAACATTTCTAAACATTTTAAAATACACGTATAAGCATGAACCACAGAATACCAAAGGGAATTTGATTCACAAAAATTGTACAGCATAATTTGACACTATCTCTGATTGTAACATTTTTCTCAACCTTAAAAAATATATACACCTTTCTACCCTAAAAGTCTACTATAGGGGTTTTCCCAAGGAAATAACTAACAAATTTATATAAGAATGTACAAATCTCAAGGGTGTGTTCTCTGAAACACCAGTTGAAATACTGAAAGGTCAGAAGTAATAGAATGGCCCCTAAAAAGAAAAATAGTGAAATAAGTTATGCAATAAAGCACTGTATAGTCATTAGAAATGTTTTAAAGGGAGAAGTGTATGGCAAAGTAATGAGATAGGAAGAAAAGCATCTAAGAGGAAAAGACATGATTACAAAAGTAACAGATCAGCGAGTATAAATCATGTATGTGAAATGGCAAATGGTTTATTTCTTCCACAACACTTTTAGAAGAGGGGCAGTAGGCAACAGGAAATCCCTGGATAGGGTTATATGCAGTTAGCCTGTTTACCCTGACAGTCCTGTACAGCTAACAAGAACATATGTTTTGGAGCCAACCACTCAATATTCAAAGTCTAGCTTTTCCTTTACTACCTGAACCAATTCTGAATCTCTTGTCCCTGAATATAAAACAGAAATACTATTTCCTTAGTACTGCTATAAAAGTGAAATAAGATGACATAGAGAAAACACTGTGCTCAATTTCACATTTAGAGTATGTGCTAATAAGCAGTAATTTTTTGTTATAGTATACTGAAACACAAAAAAATTATTTTTACAGTTTAAAAGTGGAAAGGGACTGTTAAAGATTTGCAGGTGCCGGTCATGGTGGCGCACCTCTTTAATCCAAGTACTCAGGAGGCAGAAGCAGGCAGATCTCTGGAAGACAGAGGTCAACCTGGTCTACATAGTGAGTACCTGGCCACCTGGGCTATAGAGAGACCTTTCAAAACAACAATAAAACAAAACAACAAAAAATATTTCATGATGCTCAGATTCAAGTAACTGTTAGTGAAACACATGAATGAGCGTGAGCAAAGTGTTTCCACCTCGGAGATCTGCCTGTGGCCCTCGCTGAGAACATCATCTGACACTGCCCCTCACTGCTTGACAACCTGACTGCTCTGTGGCAGCACATCCAGCACTACTTAAAGATCAGAACTGACACTTCTGTTTCATTCACACCCCTAGCAGCCTTCGGTCTGTGAAATGCTTCTGTTCTGCTGGTTTAGCAGTGACAGCGACAGTGAAGGAGGCTGTCCTGCTGCTCATCAAGAAACTTGGCCAGGTCGCTGGGTTTGGATCTGGAGTTCTCCATGTTCCACTGCTTAATGTTTACTTTCTGGAACACCTCTCCATAGCTGACCTTTGTGAAGCACACCTACTGACTCAACACAGAGACATTTCTCTCAACATTTGAGAGAAAAATGGCCAAGAAAAAAATTACAAATCTGAAAAGACCGCCTATTTTGCATACTATCTAGAAAAGGGCACCAGACCACATTTATATGGAAAAAACCTTAATGAGTATTGTATAAATAACAAACTTCCAGCAGGCTTTTTTATACAAATGAGGCTCAGAATGTCTAGACAGAATGAAAGGCAATTTAATAAGAACAAGAAAGATAACACTTTTATATTACTTTAACATTGACAGCAAATTAATAAGGAAAGCTTTCATCAGATGAATTTTAATAGAAGATCGCCTAATGCTCTAGAGTTAGTCCAGTCTTGACTCCTTCTGAGAGCCGCCTGGCTTGATCGACATTATCGCAGCTCCACCTTCAAGTGCAGAAGGTATTTATTCAATGCTTATTTGTCACTATTCACCAGTAACTTTCTAGAAATATGGTGAATTGAAATACCAGTAAAACCTTCAATGTATTAATAAAACTTCAAAAGTATATCTAAAATTATAATCACTAGAAAAAAACAGAGTAGATATTTCTACAGTGGGTTTTTTTGGCTATCATCATGAGACAGAATAACTAAACAAACACACAGAAATGCTTTCCTCTCCCTAGAGAATAAGCAAGAATTTAAAGGAAAATGTCAGTTCATTTTCCGGAGCAGATCTTCTGTGTAGAATAGCATTCTAAGAACTGCAGCAGGTTCTCCACGAGCTTGTCTTTGAAATTTTGTCCTTGAAGTTAAGAACACAGATTGGATGCAAGACTGATTCAGATCCTTTAATTTACTAACTTGCAGCACACCAGAAAGGAAGGAAACCATCAGTCACAGTTGGCTGTATACAAGACACTGTTGGGGGATTTAAGTTAAAACATGTCCAATGTATTTCCTACTAGTAAAGAGAACTGTCTCTGTGAAACCTGCCACTAGAGGGAGCTCATTTTGCTTTTAGATCCTCATTTGAAAACCAAAGGAACTTCAGGTTAAAATTATGTCACCTACTTTACTCCAAATTCTTATGGAATTGTATATTTAAATAAGCTTTTTTTCCCCCAACAGTTACTGTGTATGTTCTCTGTGAGTAAAATAAAAGGGCTATTCCTTAAAGAGTCAAAGTCAAGTAAAACTGGATAGCATTGTCTAGATATATTTTATTCTCAATGATACATTTTTCTTTTAAGTTGGCATGCTTTAGGCCTTACAACACACAAACTAGCAGTTTAACTGAAAGACTCATATTAAAGTTTAATAGCCTCATTGTTAGAGTGAACTTTGATTAACTGCATTATAAAGTTAACCATTTTTCATTCAGAAAAATAGAACTCAAACACACACTTGATAATGCAAATGGCAGCACTAGGCTTTTCTATAGAGCATGTTGTTCGTGACCTTTAATGCATTTATAAGATGAAAGTCATGGAACTCAGTAAAGATCTGATACACATCAGAAAGAACAAATAAAATATGTCTGCATGGAGACATTTTAATTATAAGAAATTACTAAATATTGGTATAGTACAGCATAATTAAAATATTGAGACAATATAACACAAGGTGCTTCTTAATCAAAAGGGAAACACAGTACTTTAAAGGGGAAAACTTCCTATTATAATGTTAACTAGAAACTAACAACTAATTTAAACTATAATGAATAAAAATTAAGACATTTAACTTTGTTTATAAAGTAGTTTTTATATCCCTCAGGAACACACTGAAACTTGGTTACTTAACAATCCATCTTGGGGGTGGGGCTTTCAAATTTTCTTACCATACAGATAAAATTGGTGATATACCTATTTCATAACAGGTTAAGCATGAGTTAAAAAAACAAAACAAAACAAAACTAAACTAAAAACCAAAACCAAAAACAAAAAAACTGACAAGCATTTGCAAGCCTCTCAATTTTAACTATCCAGGACAAAGTCAAATTACAGGTTTTAGCAAAAGAAACCATTCTACAAAATAACAAACAAACCAGAGTCCTCAGAGCTACAAGGCAGAAAACTGCTGAGTCAACAATATTCCTGTGCGCTACACTATACCATAACACTTCCAAATTCTCGTCTGGATATTTAATTCACAGGAACATCTCCTGTCAACGCCAATTTATAGGGAAAGATTTGGAAGAACTATGACAGCGGAAACTCTTGAAGAAAATTAAAATTCCTGAACAATGAAACTTTAAACCAGTAACTAGCATTAAATACTGCATAAATCTTAAACTGTATTTCTGGTTCACATGTAGTGATAGTTAATTTTTAAGCAAAATATACACTTCTGATTGCCTGAATATACGTTTAAGTGTTCTTAAAATTATTTATGAAACTTTGGGAAATGTGAAGGTAAAGAAACAAAGATAATTATGAATAAACACATCAATACAGACAACTCACAAATGGGAAACTGTCCCAAGCACTGATTTTTCTTTTCTGAAAAAATTATCTTGCATTATCCATCTCATGCAAATATGCCACCAAAACAAAAAATAAAATTTTGCATTCACCGTTAGAATGGTAAACAAGTAGTGAAAAAAGGAATTCCAGGTAGATATTGAGAATAACTTCTAAGTAAGTCCAGTTCCCTTTTTTTTTTTTTTTTTTCTGTTTACAAACCTTAAAACCACCCAAAGGGAGGAAGACGCTCCACTAAAAGGGGGCTAAGAATTCCACCAACCCTGCAGGACACCTGCCTACTTACTGCTCGTTCCAACCTGCCATTAACTCACTACACCTACAATGAGCCCCTCAAAATTGCTGTCTAGTAAGTAAATCAAATACCAAAACAGAACGCTAGGTTGCTGGGGACGGGAACAATCCTTCAGGGGCACCGGGTCCCTTGAAGAACAGCACGTGTTTAGTGCGCCCAACATCTCTTCTCACTAGGCTCCCCACCGAGCACCCGAGTACCCTCCGGGTCTCACCTAGGCGGATATTTAGAGCGGAGAAGGACTCAAGACTGGCTTAGCTAACTAATCCCGAGCAACACTAGGTAGGTCAGAGCTGTCAACGAATCAGGGCCAAGAAGGTCGCAGGACTGCAAGTGCAGAGGACGCGGGTGCCCGGAGCGCGCGGGGCCGGATGGGCTGCAGAACTGGAGAGTAGCACGGGGGACCAGGAGCTGCCCACGCGTGGGGTCCCGGGTGCGCGTCCGCGTGGGCCCCGCCGCCCGGCTCGCCGCTCCTCCCGCAGCGGGCCAAGCGCGCCCCGACGCCACTCACGTTTTCTGCACCGGCTTCCGCCGCTTGCGGCTGGCGTAGGTGATGTTGGCCCCGGTGCTCATGGTGCCCGCGCCGCGGCTCCTGCCGCCCGGTTCCACCTGCGCCTCCCGCGGCACCGCCCCGCCCCGCTCCGCCAGGTGAGCGGCGGCCCAGGGATGGACAGCGGCGCGCAGGTGCGGGAGGCCGACCCGAGGGGACGCGGAGGAGGAGCCCGGACGGCCCGCTCTCCTGCTCGCCGCGCCCGGCCCCGAGCTCAGGTAGGCGCCGCGCTGCTCCCAGGCTTCCCGATCCCGGTCCTGGCGCCGCTGCCACCGCCCGACCCCGCTGCGGCGGGCTCTACGCTGAGCGGGCGCCCCGGGCACGCGCTGGGCACCGAGCGTCGAGGGAACCGCACGCGCTGCCGGCCGCCGCTGCGCACCAGCTCCACAGCAGCAGCGCCGCGACCCCGCTGTCCAGCCGGGAGCCTCGGCCCCGCCCCACCTGCTAGGCCCCGCCCCTCCCTGCTCCCAAGAGGGCCCCGCCCTCATCCACGGGATGACGTAGGACGCTGGGACTCGGGCTGGAGCCACGTTCGGAGGTCGGGGGAGGGGCTCGCCCTGGACCTGTTCTCCACTGAGAAGGGGGTGTGACGCCAAGGTATGCCTAGGCAAATTCCTTGCAGCCAGACCCAAGATACACCAAGTAATGAGCTTAGCGTCACCTACAGTTAAGCCAGCCAACTTCTGGCAGAGAATTTCATGAGCTGATAAACAATGGGACTGTCAAGCGTTCGTTCCAGTGGAGAAGGCTGCAGAATGCACATGGTTGGTGAGGCTTGAAGGCTAGTTTCCTAGTTCCTCTCTCGACTCCCCCTCCCCCCTTTAAACATGTATTTCTCCAGTAGACAATAAAATATTTCCTCAGTCAGATTTCAGTAAGATTGGAAGGAAAGTCGCCAAGGAGCGCTGAGGGTATGAGGTATCTGGGATCGCGTACTAAGTAGTCTGGTACAGTGGGAGAGGAGCTGTGAATAAGTAGCCTGTTAGAGAAGAGGTATTAAGGGACAAATCATAAAGCCTTGATGAAAATTTTGTATCTTATTCTGTAGGCAATGGAAAGTTTTTAAAGTTATTAGGAAAGTAACATTCTGCTGTCTTGTCACTCTGGGAGAAATTAGCAAACCCTGTTACTGAACAGCAAGAATGGATGAAGAGCAGGCCGAAACGATGAAGATGCAAGTTCAGGGTCGCAGCAGTGCAGATGAGGGAAATCCAAAGTATAGACGATAGAAAGGTCAGGTAGGAGGGACCATAGAGAGCCAACAGAATTGGCTCATCTTCCATGCTATTAAGAGAATACAGGCAGAGAAGTGTTTAGGAGAGCCAGTGGGCACCCAAATTGAGACCAAGATTCCTCCATATCTCACACCTACTTCTAAAAGCACCATCAAGTCATTTTGCCTCATGAGTTTGTAACTTAAACCTAGGTGCGTCTAAATAAATTCATAACTGTCCTGTGATTGGCCCTAACAGTCTCCAGATTCATTATTCTGAAAACCAAGGAATTGTTCTAAAGTCCTCTGCCCACTGTTTAGCAGGTACTATTGAGCCTGATTCTTGTCTATAATCCATTTCCCCGCACTTGTTCTTTGAGCACCCACCTCAAATCCTCTTCATTCAGGATTCTTTAGCTATTTACAATATCATCTCCCTCTACATATTAATGCATTCAGAAGATACTATGGGAACACCTACTATGTTCCAGGAATCAGGCTAGTACCGGAAAGATGGACAATGGGAAGCGAAAGCAAAGTTTTTTTAAGCAAAGGAAAGGGGAAATAAATGTTTAAAGTCACTACCTGAAGGGTTTGGGGCAGATTAAAGAAGAAACAGAGTAGTGGGTGGAGGAACTGCACCTTAGGAAACTGTTGCAGCACCACAGCCAAGAGATGGCAGTTGTTGATACTGCAGTGGAGGTGATGGTGGAGATGGGGAAATTTTAATGTGTTCTGTAGATGTTTGAGAACTGTTAGAAGAGAGGATGCATGAGAGCAAGGGAAAAATGACAGTGAATGATGGCAAGGATATTGGGGAAAAAGAACTCTTGTTCCCTGTCAGTTAGAGTGTAAACTGATGCAGGCACCATAAAAATTGGTATGAAGGTGCCTCAAAAAAACAAAGTAGAGTTACCCAGCTCTACTACTTCCTAAGTCCTACTGTAGAGAAATTTGTGCATCCATGTTTATTGCTGCACTATTCATAATTATTAGGAAATAGAACCAGGCTAGATGTCCATCAATATGTGTGGGTAAAAAATGTGGTACAAATACATAATGGAATTTTGCTCATGCATTGAATGGAATGTCAATGGAAATCATGACACTTGTAGGGAAATGAATGGAACTAGAAATTATTGTGTTATGCAAATTACCCCGTACTCAGAAGACAAATTCTTTGTGTTTTCTCTCATATGTGGCTCCTAGATTTTAATTTTTCTATGTGTGGAGGGGTGTGAGTTATGAGACCAGAAAGGGGACCATGAAGGGAAAAAAAGAGGTTTTAGGGGAGGATTTCAAGGGTGGAAGCAAGAAAGTTATAGAATACATGAGATATGAAAGCAAAAGAGGGCTCCTGGGAGAGTCAGGGACCTGCAGGAGAAGGGCAGGGAGGCAGTGGGGACATCAGCAGAAAGGAAAAGAAACAAAGAGTGTGTGAAAAATCATAGATTTCATTAAACCTGCTGCTCTTTATGCTAATACTAAAAGCCATTTGAAAAATAAGACAATATAATGACAGTTTTCTCAACAATGCATCTGAGTGGTTAATAATCACACTACTGAGGGTGGAAATCATGAGTTTAGTCTCATAATCTTTTTTAAAGTTTATGAATTGAGGACATTTGTCAGTTTTATTCACTATTTTACACCCATAGAAATGTGCCTAGCATACAGAAAGCACTCAACATTTGTTGAATGCCACAACAAAATAAAATCCACCTATATTTGTTAACAGTGTCATTTATTTGGGAAAATGGCACACTGGAAAACACAGAGTATTTAGATATAGATCAGAGGTACGGGGCTTGCCTAGCATGCAGAAGACTCTTAGTTTTTCCCCAGTATAACACACACACACACACACACACACACACACACACACACACACACAGAGTGTACATGACTCTCTGAAGTTTTCTAACACAAATCAATCCTATTCTTAGAAATATATTTGAATATTGATTAATTGCTACTTCTTTTGCAGTGATTTACAATGATGCAAATATGTATTCCGACTGTAAAATTCATGCCATTTTACATGTCTGAAGAATTTTCTGGAACACAGAATAAGTCCACGAAATTAAAAATAACACGTATCTAGGAAAAGTAGAGCAGCATAAACTATGTTAAAAGCATGTTTGAAATTTCCAAGAGGAGCTGCTGGGTAGGCAAACTCAAAAAGCACAATCTGGAGACTTCAATTAAGAAGCCGTTTATTTGTGGACAGAGAAAGCAGCATGTAATAATGAAGTGTAGAAAAGAAGGCCACGACTGAAAAGTGAGGAGCCCCACTTCAGAGCTCTGTATCCACTGGCTGAGTGCAATATGGCCCTTGAAACAGACTGCAGATACACTCTGCAGAAGGGTAACCCCAAAGTAAGGTGAATGTGGTGTCATGGAAGACAATGTACAGAAATGTTGGGAGTGGCTATGGTATTGAATGTGCTAAGAATTTGATTAAATTATGAGAGTGTCATTTGAAGCTTTTCCAATTGGGGTCATCAATGTCTTTTATGAATACTGTTTTAGTGGGCAGTGGACCTGATTGGCAAGTCACATTTCAATGGGTGCAGTATTGGGTTTACAGAAGAAAGATGATGATTCTGTTTAAATAAGAGGGACCTCAGGTTGGTAGGGAAAAGTGAGGTTTCATTTATTTCACTTTGAAAATAGGCCAGATGGTGCATGTCTGTAATCTCAGCTACTTGGAAGGCTGAGGCAGGAGAACAGGGAATCTGAGGACAGCCTGACCTAGATTGCAAGAGTCCACCTTGATCAATAGCAATATAGTGTTGATTTTTATGGGAGTATCAGGTGAAACTTCATGGAGCAGGGATTGACTCCCTAAGGAAAATAAGAAGGGTAGAAATGCTCATCAGTACAGTCTATTGACTAAATAACCATCCTCTTCAGAAAAGGAATATACTGTATACTAAACCTAATGAACCAATATTAATTTTAAAAGTAATCTTTTTTATGATTGTTAGCTATTTAATAGAATCCTTACCTTACTTTGTGTTCTTTTCTACCCTTTCTGTTTTTGATGTTACAATTATTTTCATCATTGAGAAGTCACACCATACTGTATTCTATTATGCAGTTTTCAGTGGAGTGATAGATTTTTATATGTATAGCTAAGATTACAACATAATACCAAATTTCCACTATTCATTTCATTGCAGTGATGACAATGTGAATGTCCCTTAACATTTTTCTTAGTGTCCTAGGAAAGCCAGTCTTTAGTAATATTTTAAAAAGAAGTTGACACTTTCTAGAAATTATTGCTTTCTACTTTTAATTATATTACAGTGCAGGGCTTTCCAAGTGTGGTTTGTGGCCAGCCACAAAAGTTTTTAAGTTTTCTGTGATCAATTTTTATGTAGTAACATAAGTTTTTACAATAATTTGCTTTTAAGTGTCCACAAATATCCAATGCCTTACTCAAAGAACATTGACAATTTACCTTCTGAGAGGCAATCTTATGTCTATGGGCCCCTTTTTCCTGCTACCTAGGATGAAACAGCAAGTTTTAGGAATATTATAAATGATAGTTATTCTAAAATAAAGAAAAAGAGTCAAAATGTGTGCTAAACCTATTCTGCCTTAATATGTGCATTGGTTCACTTCACTAAAATATTCTAACTCCTATCATAAGTGAGACACTTGTGATACAGTGGTGATAACAGATATGTTCCCTAACAGAGATTACATTGTAATTAAGAGATCGTAGTTGATCAAATAGTTACATAAATACATGTACACCCTCATTTGTGATATGTACTGTGAACAATGCTATAGAATGTGTCATAACAGGCTTCACCTGTTAGGAGAGGCTGTGCTGAAGAAGCTGAACTGAGTCCTGAAGCAGGGGTAGGCATTTTATAGGTGTAGAGGGGAGGGAAAGCTATTCTATGCAGACAGAAAATTTATAACACCTCCTTTTTTCTTCCTCTTCAAATCTGCATCTCTTTACTCCCTGCCCTCAGGCTTCATCTTCTTTTTCTTTATGTCATGTGGCACACTATAACTAATAGTTCATGGATCATAGCCCATGGTTCCAAACTGTGTGCTGAAGTGACCTCCATGTACCATCACAAACTCAAAGAGGCACCATGATGGATATTTACATTTTTACGGTCAACAGAGTGACATCACTTATGGACTATGCACACTGCTAACTTGAGGTGGTTCAGAACTTCAGCATTCAATCTATTCTACTCCTTTGATATCACATCTTTGTGATGTTTCTGTTTATTGCTATGACAAAATACAAGACAAAGGAAATTA